CCTCCTGGCTGGCCCTAAACGAGCTTGTTCGTGGATGACACGGTTTCTGCAGTATATTCGAGCAAAGACTCACAGAGCACCTGGGCAGACGATGCTGAAAGGAAATCTAAGGGTGTCCGAATTGGAATGCGTCGAGTTGGCCCTGCTTCGTTACGTACAACGCCAGATGTTTCCCGAAAAAATTGACAGTATATTGAGGCAGGAGAGGTCCGCTGAAATGCGTGCGCCGAGACGTTCCTCTCAGAAGAACCTATGTCCGGTAATGGAGAACGGACTGCTGCGAGTTGGGGGACGGTTAACCAACAGTAATATATCCCAAGCTAGGCAGAGACCTATAATTCTGCCCAGTCAGCATCCACTTACAACCATCATAGTTCGTCATTATCATTTGAAGGAAGGACATATGGGGTTGATGCACGTGTTAGCGGCGTCTCGGGAGAAATACTGGATCATAAGAGGTGCTTCCACCGTAAGAAGAGTAATTATGCAATGCATTGGCTGCAAGGTAAGATCGGCTAAACCTGTAGAGCAATTCATGTCAGATCTACCGGCCTCACGCGTAACCCCAGGCTTTCCCTTTGCGGTAATCGGAATCGACTACTTCGGACCGTTCTACGTTCGAGAAGGTCGTGTGACTAGAAAACGTTACGGCTGTATCTTTTCATGTTTCAAAACCAGAGCAGTACACATTGAAGTAGCTCATTCTCTCACCATCGACTCTTTCCTCATGACCTTCTCGCGATTTGTGGGGAGACGGGGATGTCCCAAGCAAGTGTACAGCGATCGAGGCCAGACATTCGTCGGAGCAGAAATAGAGATGCAGCAATTTCTAACAGGGTTGGGACACCGCAAAGTTGAAAATGAAATGCTATCTAAGGGAATTGAGTGGTGCGTTAATCCACCTTATGCGAGTCACCGGGGTGGTGTGTGGGAGCGTATGATACGTTCCGTCAGACGGATTCTCAGCGCCGTATCACGAGAGCAAACTCTAACAGAGGAATCACTCATGACCTATTTAACGGAAGCGGAACGCGTTCTAAACAATCGTCCTCTAGTACCTGTATATGACGACCCAGAAAACCCTGGAGTTCTTTCACCTAGCTGTTTGTTATTGATGAGAAAACAGGACGATACCATCGGAACCGAAGTTGACCTGCGCGATCGGTACACACGCCAGTGGAGGCAAAGCCAGCTCTTGTCGGATACCTTTTGGCGAAGATGGATTTCGGAGTACTTACCTTTACTGAACACTCGGAATAAGTGGAGAAACCCGCGGCGAAATCTGAGGACAGGAGACTTAGTGCTGATACTGGGAGAGAACCAACCCCGTGGAAAGTGGCCGAAAGGAGTTGTAGCGGGTATCAAAGGTGGATCAGACGGGCGAGTGCGCGAGGCCCTAGTGAAAACCTCAAAAGGACAAGTTCTGAGAGACATCCGCCGACTGTGCTTACTGGAAGGGGCCGACGACTAGTAGGGTAACCACTCGTGAGTAGGGTGTGCTTCAGTTCGGTTCCTGTGACTGTGGCAAGAGTAAATTGTACCATTTTTGCATGGAGCCGTCTGAAGTGTGCACAGTAGCGAGTGGAACGTTAGTAAAGCCGTGCCGGCTTTGGGGTGGCGGTGTTGAATCTGTTTTGCCTGTTTCCATCCTGCTCATTCATGACCACCAACTCGTGCTACGTTCGGACCGGTTTGACATTCCTAATTCATTTGACGTTGACCACATGGTTGCACGGCTATCAGTCCACACAATTCCTCATCGCTCTCAAGCGTTGCCTGTTCGTCACACACACACACACACACACACACGCTGAACCATCACTCGGTCGATTGACTAGACCTGGACTAGACTGCTCGAGTGGGCACCGAATTCTGATCGGCTGCACCCGGCAGGCATGTTTGATCACGCACATGTACCGAGGCATACACACCCGCACCCACACTAGATTGTGACCTATTCGACCCGTGACTAATCGTGTATTTGCGTGCCTGAGCGAATCCCTGCCCTACTCCCTGGTTGGTCAGAACCATCGATCGATTTCCGCCTGATCGCCTTTCTGTTCGTTCATGTCCCTTATATGCGCGTTCCTTTCCTTGTCATTGTTAGTTGTGGTCGTTTCGTTAACCTACTTGGTGACTTGTGCCTCGGCCAATTGGCCATAGAACGTGTTATCCATTCTGAACTGTACGGAACGTTAGTAAACGGTGATTCCCGTGAGGACGCCACGTTTGAGGTTTGTACATTTACCCCTTTGATTGATTATTGTTTGCAGTACCGCTAATAAACCTCAGCTAGTTTGATTTGGTTTCTGAGGAGAGCGCGTCACTCCAACTCGGCCTAGACACCGAATAAAGTTGACTAAAGTTCAGAATCGGACGTACGTATCTAACAGTCATCATCATCATCATTATCATCATCATCATCACCATCATCATCATCATCATCATCATCATCATCATCATCATCATCATCATCATCATCATCATCATCATCATCATCAACATCATCACCATCATCATCATCATCATCATCATCATCATCATCATCATCATCATCATCATCATCATCATCATCATCATCATCATCATCATCACCATCATCATCATCATCATCATCATCATCATCATCATCATCATCATCATCATCGTCATCATCATCATCATCATCATCATCATCATCATCATCATCATCATCATCATCATCATCATCATCATCATCATCATCATAATCATCATCATCATCATCATCATCATCATCATCATCATCATCATCATCATCATCATCATCATCATCACCATCACCATCATCAGTATCAGCATGATCATCATCGCAGAATCCTGCACTTCCATCTATCCAACAGGTAATGAATGCTCGGTCTTACACAGTGTCAAATAGGATAAAGGGTGGTTAGAAACCGTGAATGCGTGTTCGAACCGCAAGATGAAAGCGCATACAAAATTACGACCGTTTGGGGCTGTAGCAGCATGCAGTGAACGGCTGGAACAATGAGAATTGGTACTAAATGCAAACAAAATCACAATTTTAAGTAGAACGTAAGATCAGTTGTAACAAAACGGCAGTCATGGTCAGAATTAAACTTTGGGGGCAGTCAGAAAGTGAATAACCGTAGGAAGTCCCCTGTGTAGCGAGAAAACAACCAGGAAAAGCCAAAGGCGACGGATTGCTTACGTTTCTGTGTCTCTTAAAAGTCATTCTTCAAGTTTGAAAACAGAAGTCAAAAACATAGATTGCACGATGTATCCTGGATCATTTCGCTGCATCTTTACAAAGTGCATACTGCAGTCGAAGTGATTATTTTTATAGCAAAATAAATGAACGAAATGTTTATAAACAAAGGCAAAATCACATGACGCACACATGCATACATGTCTATCGGATGATCAC